GAGGCAGGCCTTGAGAGTGTTATCTGGGAGGAGTTCGATCCTGTGGCTCCCGAGGACGTGGACAGGATCTTGGGGCGGCTGAACGCAACCACATGTTTATTGGACCCGTGTCCCTCCTGGTTGGTGCTGGCTTCCCGGGAGGTTACACGAGGCTGGCTCCAGGGGATTATTAACGCTTCTTTGAGCGAGGGTGTCCTGCCGGCCGCCTTGAAAGAGGCGGTGGTGAGGCCTCTCCTCAAGAAGCCATCCCTGGACCCGGCTGTTTTGGCTAACTATCGTCCAGTCTCCAACCTTCGCTTTATTGCGAAGGTTGTTGAGAGTGTGGTGGCGCGACAGCTTCCCCAGTACCTGGATGAAGCTGTCTATCTGGATCCGCTCCAGTCCGGCTTCAGACCTGGGTACAGCACGGAAACGGCATTGGTCGCGTTGGTGGATGATCTCTGGAGAGCCCGGGATAGGGGTTCTTCCTCTATCCTGGTCCTATTAGACCTCTCAGCGGCTTTTGATACCATCGACCATGGTATCATGTTGCGCCGGCTGGAGGGACTGGGAGTGGGGGGCACCGTTTTGCGGTGGTTCTCCTCCTATCTCTCCGACCAGTCGCAATCCGTGTTGACAGGGGGGCAGCGGTCGACCCCAAGGCGCCTTGTTTGTGGGGTGCCGCAAGGGTCGGTCCTCTCGCCCCTCCTGTTCAACATTTATGTGAAGCCGCTGGGTGAGATCATCCGTGGTTTTGGGGTGGAGTTCCATCAGTACGCTGATGATACTCAGCTGTACATTTCCACCCCAGACCATCCCAATGATGCCTTGGAAGTGATGTCCCAGTGCCTGGAGGCCGTGCGGGTCTGGATGGGGAGAAACAGGCTTCGACTCAACCCTTCCAAGACCGAGTGGCTGTGGCTGCCGGCGTCCCGGTATAGCCAGCTGACGCCATCGCTGGTTATTGGGGGCGAATCATTGGCCCCCACGGAGAGGGCCCGCAACTTGGGTGTCCTCCTGGATGCGCGGCTGTCTTTAGAAGGGCATATGACAGCCGTGGCCAGGGGGGCTTTTTGTCAGGTTCGCCTGATACGCCAGTTGCGCCCCTTTCTGGACCGGGACTCCCTACGCACAGTCACTCAAGCACTCGTCACTTCTCGTCTGGACTATTGTAACGCTCTCTACATGGGGCTCCCCTTGGGGTACACCCGGAGGCTCCAACTGGTGCAGAATGCGGCTGCGCGGGGGATTATGGGAGCGACGGGGCGCTCCCATGTGACTCCTCTCCTGCGCGAGCTGCATTGGCTTCCGGTGGACTTCCGGGTGCGCTTCAAGGTGTTGGTGATCACCTTTAAAGCGCTCCATGGCTTAGGGCCAGGGTACTTACGGGACCGCCTTCTGCCACCAATAGCCTCCCACCGGCCGGTTCGCTCCCACAGAGAGGGCCTCCTCAGGGTGCCGTCGGCCAGACAATGCCGGCTGACGACCCCCAGGAGGAGAGCCTTCTCTGTGGTGGCACCTACCCTATGGAACAATCTACCCCCAGAGATACGAGTGATCTCCGACCTTCGGATTTTTCGTCGGGCCCTAAAAACTTATTTTTTCCAGTTAGCCGGTCTGTCTTGATTTTAGGGTTAGTTTTAAAATTTTAATATTGATTTTAAATTGACAAGTTTTAAATTATGGGCCAAATTTATAAATTATTTTAACTTTATTTTTTAACTGTGATGTTTTGTATAGATGGTTTTTATCTTGGCTGTTCACCGCCCTGAGTCCGAAAGGAGAAGGGCGGTATAGAAATTTGAATAAAGTAAAGTAAAGTAATAATTCATAAAATATTGAGAAGGAATCTATGTGTGTGTGAGTAAATAGGATTATTTGAAATACTATGTCTTCAGTGGAAATATTCAAATAAATACTGTATCCTCAAGGAAGAAGAACTGATTTAGTTTTAAAATTCACACATAATGGTCTCTCTCCCACTTTCAATTTCCTATCTATAAAATGGAACCAGTATCTGTATTTCACAAGGTGATGGGAATGCAGGTAATGGGAATGCAGACTCTCCACACTTGTGCACAAACATACGTCTGAGAAAATGCTAAGTATCCTTAAATTTTGAGCTCTTTTTTTCTGAGCTAGTCAAGATCTGTGTTCACCTGAATGCAGGACGCATTTTGGTTTGGAGAACAGTATCACCTCTATGTCCCAAAGGTGCTTTTTCAAGTGGCAACTGGACTTTCTGGTTTTTCTTTGAAGACATTTTGCTTCTTGAATGAAAAGCAAAGTATCTTCAAAGAAAAACCAGAAAGTCCAGATGCCTCTTGAAAAATCACCTTTGGGACAACCATGATCTGGATGGCTGAGAATCTCCATAGATATCACCTCTATGAGAAATTTTTAGGATTAGAGATTCTAATTAGAAATATCTTCATACTGACAGCAAGTTATTACATAGGTACTGTGAAGAAAGTATACATTTTCTTCATCTTCAGTAGCAATATTTAAAACATTCATATTCAAAATGCTAGGGATTTAAGTTTGTTTTGTGGTGGTCATTTGCTTAACAAAATCCCCCCTCTCCAAATCCTTTGACCTGAATGGGTTTTCAGGCTGCTTTACAAATTGGTTCTGGGTGCTATTTTAGCAGGCCCAGAGTGTTAAGCTCATTTCCCGTGCCAAACCCAGTATATTACTTCACAAAGAGAGAGGTGGAAGTGTCCTGCCTCACTTTGGCCTCACTCAAATACAAGCATTTTCCGTTCAAGTTAACCAGCACTTTGAAGCAGCATCAGTGATGAAGTGACTGGACTGGGGACAACTACTTAAGTTGCACATAAAGAAAAGAAACGATCCTATTTTTCTATTTGAAGATGGCAGAAATTTACTCAGGATTGAAATTTGGATGCAGATCAAATACATATCTTTGCCAAAAAGGCCACCACAATTTAAAAAGCAGAATACAGTAGAGGTCACCAACTGGTGGTCTGCAGCGCACCCAGGTGGAGGAGCTGCTCTGGGATGACCAATGGGCCAGTCCTGTGACCAGAGCTCTGGAATATGGGACCGGCCAGGCAGCTTGTGGTGGGGCTGGAAATCTCTGCTGTAGAGGGAAGTACGTGCAACTTGCAACTTTGCAGCTGGTGAAGGTGCAAAGAGTAGGGCAGCCCTCGCCGGCCAGAATGAGGTACTGGTGCTGTTGCAGAAAGGGGGGTGGGGTGGCGGCGCAGGCAGGCCAAAGCAATGGATGTCGGCAACCCATAGCTCTTTTGTTCCCCTGCTGTGGCTTCCTGTTGGATGGTCCCATCACTGTCTGTCCCCGCCCCACGCCCTCCCAGTCCCTGAGAAGGGAAGGGCGGGGGATGGAGATTTGCTCCATATTTCAGAGCAGGAGCGAAGCTTCATCTTGTGCTGGCTCTCACAGGTGTTTTTTCCAGACTTTGTTGGTGCTGCACGCACCTTGGTTGCACCAAAGAATCAGAATAGAGAGAAAGAGAGAGGGGAGAGAGAGAGAGAAAGGGAGGGGAGAGAGGGGAGAGAAAGAGAGAGAAAGAGGAGATGGGAGAGATGAGAGAGAAAGAGAGGGGAGAGAGAGAGAGTTGAGAGAGAAAGAGGTGGGAGAGATGAGAGAGAGAAAGAGGTGGGAGAGATGAGAGAGAGAAAGAGAGAGACAGAGAGATGAGAGAGAGAGAGAGAGAGAGATGAGAGAGAAAGATACTGAGAGAGAGAAAGAGAGAGATGAGAGATCCCGATGTTTTGTTTTCTGTAGGAAATGAGTCCAAATGGCTCTTTGAATGTCTAATGTTGCAGAAACAGGCAGCCAAGCTAAGTGCCTGAAGGACCCCATCCCATCACTGGGAGTCCAGGTGCTTCAGCGAGCGGTGCGCTAGATTCATATTAGTGGTCTGCGGGATTTAAAATTATGAACTTAGTGGTCCCTGAGGAATGAAAGGTTGATGACACCTGGAATACTGTATATGTGTAGTGTGCGCAAAAGGATTTTCTATCATACTATTATCTACTTGTTCTGTTTCTCTTGTGTATTTTTGTTTTTCAGCGGTTTGATTATTGCCTGCAATGTATATGTCACATATAAATGCCTAACACATAACGTATGTGACTAACAGCATGGTAAAGTAAGAGTTAACACAAACCACCCCCACTTCCCTTCTCCCCTTAACCCCTCCTTACCTTGACTCCGCCTCCTAGGTATATAAGGAGCTGCCTCGAAGTCCAGTTGTAGTTCCAGTAGATCACCTGTGAATAGAATAAGATGTTCTGAATAAATAATTAATGTTAAAAATTAAATATGGTCTATGCCAGTTATTGGGTTAGATCCTCGAATTAAAGTAACAGTTTAGTCTTTATTTAAAAAGCTTAAACAACGTTCAGATTCCATCTTACCTCCCCCTCCACATTACTAGCCCAACCTTAACAAAAAATTAGCATAAGGGAGTTCACAAAAAGCTTATAAATATTTGCCAAACCAGTCTCTCTTTCGTCCTTGATGAGCACTTGCTCTCTCGGAGTTCCGGTCTTCCATTCAATTGCATTCAATTCCCTTCCCCCGCGAATTTAATGCCATTTTAGGTAAAAGATTCTAAATTGTTCTTATACTGCTTCTGTTTAGTTTCGCCTGGATTAAAATACAGATTTATCATTGCAGCAGGTACTAGTTTTGACTTCAACAAGCCAAAGAGTAAATATCTGACAAGCAAGGCGAGAAGTGGCTGGGAGGGGAGGGGCGAGGAGAGGCCAGGCAAGGCAAGGCACCCCTCGACATGAGCAATGTTAAGTTGGCCATGCTCATCCAGTCACATGACTACCCATCCACGCCTACCCAGCCGGTCATTAGAGCAGAGAACCAGTTGTTAAATTATTTGAATCCCACCACTGTTCAGAACCCATAGTGAGCGAAAATATTTAATTGTATCTTATGTAGGAAACGTGACTTGTGTTATCCTTCACTCACACTGCAGCACTGATCCATGTATTTATTTGCATTTTTGTCTTTTTTCTAGGTTTGGATGAAGAAGGAAGCCTATATATCTTTAAGGAGGATCATGTAATAGAGTTTGATGGGCAAATGTCAGCAGATGTCTTGGTTGAATTCCTATTGGATGTAGGTTCATCCTGTTTTCCAGTAGAAATAATATATTATCATTAATGCTAGTTACAGAGATGTTCTTTTGCCAAGGAACACAAAAAATATAGTGGAATGCAAATCATCTATTTTAAGTTAAAGAAACAAACATTATTTCCATTCAAAACTAATGGTATCTATTATAAAGAATAATTGTCAAAATACTACTTTTAGATGGGCCCAAACTAATAATAATAAATAAATTATTCTCAATAAATTCCTGAAGAAGATCAAACTCAGCCACTCGATTTCACATGTTTAAAACAGAAGTTCTAGTATTTCAAGGATTCAGTATTTCAAGGGTTGTCCATTCCAGTACAGTCTATTTTTATAGATCCCCAAATTGATAGTCAAGCCCACTTTTTAAATGGCATAATACCTTGTGGCATAAATTGCATCCTCTTTAAAGCATACAAAAATGTTGTGGGGCAACTTAGTCACAGGTGGATTTATCTGTGAATATATAGGGTAAGTGTACAAGCTAACTGAGCCACTGACCCACATTATGCTGTGATAGTGAGTTTTTTAAAGTTTCTGTTCATGTTCTCTTTGGTGACAAACAATAATGTGACATAGACACTGAGACTACAACTTTCCTTGGATTCAGCATGAAGTTTTCCATCATTGCCTTTGTGTTAAGTTGTTCCTGTCAAAATTCTTTCTTCCTGACAGCTGATGGAAGATCCTGTAGAAATCATTAACAACAAACTGGAAGTTCAAGCCTTTGATCACATGGAGGAGGAGATCAAACTTATTGGCTACTTCAAAGGAGAAGATTCAGAACGTGCGTTCTAAGTCATGATGAAATCTGAAGGGAGCTGGAAAGCAATATTATTTTTTTCCTTTGGTTGAAATGAATTGATATGTTTCTTAAAACATTTATACATACTTTACAGCATGCACTGTGTGTAGCCCTGCGTAGAATAGTACAGATGTTCAAAGTAGGTATATATTTTCTGTCCTTGCCCAATCCTCAACACACTCATCCAAGGTTTGAACAGCTCCTTACATTACAAGGCAATGAGCTCTGTTACATCTACAGCTAGTCCTCAATTTACAACAATTCATTTAATGACTGTTCAAAGTTACAATGACAAAAATGTGACTTATGCCCATTTTTCACAGTTTACGACCTTTGCAGCATCCCCATGATCATGTGATCAAAGTTCAGATACTTGGCATCTGGTTCATATTTATGAAAGTTACACAATTTTTGGCTCAATTGTGGTAGTAAGTCGAGGACTACCTGTACTCCAATGTATTTGGGTCTCTGAGACTATGATTCTGTATACACTAAATTAGAAATGAGGTACTTTCTGTGTGGCAATATTAAAAAAACAAACAAACTGAAGTGTGATTCTCTCCACTAGATTGGAAATGCAGTACAAGTAAATAAAAATTGGAACCCAAAGCGGAATGACTCAGGGACCAGAGGGAATTGGGCATGCACCCACTAGATAAAAGATACTGATTAGGAACTTTGGAGAATAAGTCAACCCCCCACTTCTCATTGGCAGCCTCCTATGTATCAGAAGACAACTATCATGTCACCCCTAATTCTTCTCTTCATTAGGCTAGAGTGACATACATAGTTCCCTTAGCTGTTCCTAGTGGAATTTATCCTGCAGTCCCTTATCATCTTAGTTGCTCTTCTCTGCACTTTTTCCCCTGGTCTCAGCATCTTTCTTGTATCATCGTGACCAGAATTCGATGCAGTATTTCAAGTGTGGCCTCACTAGTGCAGTATAACTTCATTCAATAAAATCCTTGAACTAAGAGATGAGTCATAGAAATTTATAGCAGAGAACATATAATGATATTACTGTAATTTATTTTTCCTACCTTTTATTTAAATTTAGAATGCTTTTTCACCACATAAAATATGTTTATGAGATTAAGACACCAGGTTTGAAACCAGGAGACCATGAGTTCTAGTCCCATCTTAGTCATGAAAGCCAGCTGGGTGACTTGGGCCAGTCTCTCTCTTTCAACCCAACTCATCTCATAGGGCTATTGTAGAGAAAATAGGACATGGAAGATGTGTTGGGTACGTTTGCTGCCTTAGGTTATTTGTAAAAATAATAAAGGCGAGATGCAAATAAATAAATAAATTTAGTATCCTAACTTGAGCCACTATAGTCCTGATGTATGAAAAATTATCCCAAAGTTTATTTATTTATTTGTTGGTTCGATTTAGATACCCCCCTTCTCCAGAGACTCAGGGCGGCTTACAATGCGTTAAGCAATAGCCTTCATACTTTTGTATATACCTGCTTAGTAAGGCTTTCGCCCCCCCTCAAAGTGGTGTTCTTTTTTATACAAAGTCAGCTTATTGCCCCCACAAACCGGGTCCTCATTAAGTTTCATTAATTATTCACCCAAATGTTTTTCTGAGGTCTGTATTGCTTATAGTAAGCCATTTTTATATAATTTACCTGTACATAATATTTTTAACAATATTTCACAATGAGTGATGGCTAGCATATGAGCTACAGTGATACAAAATATTGTATTGATCTTAATTTAAACAAATAAAATGTGATTCTTTTTTCTTTTTCCTCCTTCTCAGATTACAAAGCATTTGAAGAGGCAGCTGAACACTTCCAGCCTTATGTCAGGTTCTTTGCCACATTTGACAAAGGGGTAAGGACATAAAGATTCCCATGCTGATCTGGTGATTGAGAAAGTGGTAATCTTTTTTTTAAAGTTTTTTTTATTTTTTACACAAACACACATACAAACATACAATGTATTTTTTCTGAACAGAGTATTTGGCCAATTCACAAATTTAAACAGTTTTTAGTCATTTCAACTAAATTTACAATTTCTATACTTCCTTTTTGCCATGATATTTATTTACATCTATTTTTTTAAAACCAATATTACCCTTCATTCTCATCTCTGATCTTAACCAAATTCAATTTTTCCCTTCTATTCTATGTTGTACACCTTCCCATTGTCATCTATTTTTATATCCATCATCAAATTAATTAATTATGTGGTGTTACAATTGTTCATTTCTTATAGGAATAATAAACCCACTTATTTTATAACATTCATTTCCTTAGGTAATACAATCCAACATTTTAGTATAAATCAGTTAGTTATAGAACTATCTTTTTTCTTTGTATATTCAAAAATATAGACATGGATATTCCAATTATTTGCATTTTCATGCAATCCAACTTCTTATAAATCAATTAATTATGTAACCATCTTTTCTTTTACATGATAATAATAAACCAAATAGTTTCCCCATATGTTCCTCCAAACCACAACTTAATCATTTCTGCTGTCACCACAATATGCAATTAAAAATATTTCAATTATTACAATTTGCCTAGTTAAATTTTAATATGTTCTAGCTGTTATCCTCTAATCATATAGCTTTCCCCATATATTGCTCAAAACCACAACTTAATCATTTCTACTTTCACCACCCTATACCATTAAAGGTATTTCAATTGTTACAGTTTAAACTTATTCATATTTCTAAAAATTTATCATTATCTAAGTTTCAAAAATGCAAATAAAAATATTCTAATTATTATTCAATTCATTTTTACAGTCATATGATTTTCCATTATTTCTTACTACAATTCATATTTCAATTCTAAGTATATATAGCATATTCCTCTTTCATTTCTTTCTCCTTTTCTCCCTTTTCATTTTAATTTTTGCCTTTTTCTTTCCCCTTTTTTTTCTTTTGAGCTTTAAAATCAAGGGTGAAATGCTCCCGGTTCGGACTGGATCGCCCGATCCGGTAGCAATGGTGGCGGGTGGTTCGGAGAACCGGTAGCAAAAATCCCTGCACACACCCCCCCCCAATGCCCAGCTGAGCCGCACAATCATCAGAGGCTTTTTTTTAAAAGTTTTTTTTAAGTTTTTTATTTTAAACACATTAAAAACACATTAAAAATCAAACATATACATACAACAAAAAGTAACACAAAAAAGAAAAATATCACTTTTCTTTCAGCTATACACAGCGTCTGCTCTTTCTATACATCAATATTTACAAATATTTAAGTATATACTTATTTGACGTTCATTTTCTACTTTATATCATTTCCTCTTTACTAACAAAGGATCATACACATTTTCCCCCTCCTTTCTTCATCATTTAACTTATTTCCTTATGTTTCAACCATTCATACCATCTACTCCAAACCTTATAATACTTTGATTCTTCTTTCCCCTTAATTTCTTTAGTTAATTTATCTAATTCTGCACATTCTAGAATTTTTTAAATTAAATCCTCTTCTGTTGGTAGTGTTTCCTTCTTCCAATATTGTGCGTATACAATACGTGCTGCAGTCAATATATGCAATATAAGGTACTGTATTTCTTTAGTATAGTTGTCTATTGAGATTCCTAACAGAAATTGTTCCGGTTTTCCCTCTATTGGGTTCTGAATTATTTCTACTAGCCAAGTTTTGATTTTCTTCCAGAATTTTTGTGCCATCGTACAGGTTCACCATTGATGATAGTATGTTCCGTAACCAGTCTTGCACTTCCAACATTTCGGGGAGTTGGTAGGGAACATTTTCGCAATTCTGGCCGGTGGGAGGTGCCATCTATAAAACATTTTCATCTGGTTTTCCTTGTATGCTGTCGCAATTGTTAGTTTCATGTTCGTTTTCCACATCCTCTCCCACTTCTCTAGTTCTATCACATGGGTAAAGTTTTGTGCCCATTTGATCATCGTGTCTTTCACCGTTTCCTCTTCCATTTTATATCGAATTAGAAACTTGTGTAGTCTACTTATTAGTTTTCGATCATTCCCTAGTATGATTTTATCTAATTCTGTTTCTTCTAGTCGGACTTGATCTAGTCGGACTTGATCTCTGTGTACTTTGAATTTATCTGCAGATATGTCCACCATTGCACTTCTCTTCCTAAGTCCAGTTCCAATTCATTTCTAGTTTTTAATATTCCCCTCTTAGTTATTATGTCTCTATACCTAATTAATTTTGTCCAGTCTACTAAATTTGGATATGTTAAAGTTTCCTCTGGGGAAATCCAAGACGGGATTTGTATATAATGCTGTTTTTTAATTTTATTCCAAATTATTAGTAAAGAATTCCTAATTGTGTGCCTTCTAAAGTATCCATAAATATTTTGTTTTCCTCCCCACAAATATGAGTGCCACCCTATAGTTAGATCATGTCCTTCTAATGTTAGCAGCCTTTTATTTTCCAATTCCATCCACTCCTTTATCCAAACTAATCCTGCTGCTTGATAGTAGATCTCCCAATCTGGGAGGGCGGCTCCTCCTCTCTCTCTGGTATCTTGTAATACTTTTAACCTAATTCTAGGCTTCTTTCCTTGCCAAATAAATTTTGTAGTTAATCTATTTAATAAGTCGAAAAAATTTTCTCCCATTTTTATCGGAATAGTCTGGAAGAGGAATAAAATTTTGGGCAAGATGTTCATTTTTATTACTGCCACTCTTCCCATCCATGAAATCTGCAACTTTGTCCAGTTTTCCAAATCTTTCCTAATTTGCTCAGTTAATTTATCATAGTTTTCTTTTTTAATTGAGGAACTTCTTGCCGTGAACCAGATTCCCAAATATTTAATTTTTTTTGTTGCTTGGATATTCATAATCCTTTCTAATTCTGTCTCCTGGTTTTTTGTAAGATTTTTAGTTAGTAATTTTGATTTATTCTTATTAATTTTTAACCCTGCTATTTCACCAAATTCTTCTATTTTTCTAATCAGTTTGGGGCCAGATTCTAAAGGTTTCTCAATGATAAAGACCATATCTTCTGCATATGCCTGGACTTTGTACTCCTCACTTTTAATTCTCAGGCCCTTTATTTCTTTATCTTCCCTAATTTTATTTAAAAGTGGCTCCAGTGCTAGAATAAAAAGAAGTGGGGAGAGTGGGCAGCCTTGTCTTACTCCTTTTGTTATTTCAAAGCCTTTTGTCATATCCTGATTAATCAATGCCTTTGCGGTCTGTGTTGAATAAATTTTCCCAATCATTTGTCCAAATTTTTGTCCATAGTCCAATTTCTGTATTAATTGTGTCATGAAGTTCCAGTTCAAATTGTCAAAGGCCTTTTGCGCATCAAGGAAAACCAGTGAAAATTGTTTCTCTGCATGTACCTCATAATACTCTAATATATCTACTATCATCCGTGTATTATTTTTGATTTGCCATCCTGGGAGAAAACCACTTTGGTCCAAATGTATGTGTTTGTTCAGAATCACTTTTAGTCTATCTGCAATTATTGACATAAATAATTTATAATCGGAATTCAGTAGAGAGATAGGTCTGTAATTTTATATTAGTTGTGGATCTGAATCCTCCTTATGAATCAATGTAATTAGAGCTTCTGACCAGGATTTGGGTGTTTTTGTCTCTTGCAATACTTCATTAAATATTTCTATCATAAATTCTCCAGTCTGTTCTATCATATTTTTATATAGTTCTATCAGTAATCCATCTGGGCCTAGGGATTTATTATTTTTTTTGTTTTTTCATTGCCATTCCAAATTCGGTTTCGGAGATTGGTCTATTCAATGTCTCTTTCTGTTCCTCTGTCAGCTTGCAAACATTTATTTCCTCTATATATCTCTGTATTTCAGTTTCCTTTTTTTGTTCCTGAGTATACAGTTTGGAGAGGAAGTTATGTACTATTTTTTTTCCCTTCTGTTTTGTAACATACTTCCCCTTCTTCATTCTTCAAGCATTGTATCATTCTTTTTTCTTTTTCTTTTTTCAGCTTAAAAGCTAGCCATCTACTTATTTTGTTTGCATGCTCAAAATGGTTTTGTATCGCTGCCTTTATTTTCAGAGCAATTTCTTCCTGTGTAATCAAGTTTAATTTGTGTTTAATTATTCTCCATTCCTCTTTAAATTTCTTATTTTGCAGATCTTAATATAGTTTTTCCTCTATTTTTTGGAGTTCTTCCTGTAATTTATTTTGTTGATATCTTTTCTTTTTTTTACTTTTAAAAGCATTTTTTCTACAACTTCTTCCGCTGAAAAAATGCTTTTAAAAGTTAAAAAAAAAGCCTGTGATGATCGCGTGGCTCAGCTGGGATCTCAGAGGCTTTTCAAAGCATTTTTTTCTGAACCTCTTCCGAGGAAGAGGTGGTTTAAAAAATGCTTTGAAAGTCTCTCTGATCATCCCAGCTGAGTTGCCTGATCATTTAAAAAAATGCTTTGAAAAGTCTCTGTGACGATCAGGCAACACAGCTGGGATCGTCAGAGCCTTTTCAAAGCATTTTTTTAACCACCTCTTCCCCGGAAGAGGTGGTTAAAATAATGCTTTGAAAAGGCTCTGATGATCCCAGCTGTGTTCCTGATCGACAGAGGCTTTTCAAAGCATTTTTTTGCATTTGCAGAAAAAATGCTTTGAAAAGTTAAAATAAAAAAAAAAGTTGGCCACGCCCACCCAGTCACATTACCCACCACCACCAAGCCATGCCCACAGAATCGGTAGTAACAAATTTTATATTTCACCCCTGTTTAAAATCTTGAACTCTCTTATTTTGCCCTATATTTCCCATCTCTTTTCTCTTTTTTTAATTTCCCCACTGTTTACCCCAAAGTAATCATTCTGTATTTCAAAGTCCTGGACTCTTCTATTTTGCCCTGTATTTCCTGTTGCTTTCCACTCTTTTTCTCTCTTTTTTATCTTTTCACTGTTAATCCCAGTGTAATCATTTAAGTTTTTTATATTCTTTCTATTCCACCCTTCTTTCCTTCGTCTCTTTCCACCCTCTCTGTTTTTTCCATTGTTAATCCTAATCTCTAAAAACCTCCTTTTTATTGTTACTATCCACATATTCAATTAATTTTTCATAATTAATCTTGTTGTCTTTATCTTCCTCTTTATTTTCAGTCTCTGTGTCTTGCTTCTCCGTCTTTGTTTCCTTGTCAGCTTGAACATGCTCTATCTCAATTTTTGGGTCCTCAGGTTTCAATTCTCCATGTAACATTGTAATTATTTCTCTTATTTCCGTTTTCCATGACAAGTACATCATTTTCATCATTTTTCTAATTTCCTGCGCCATTTTATTCTTTCTGGGTTGGTATTATTCCAATTTTAAAAGTTTCGTTGTATTCCTTTTTTTTTTCAAAGTCAAGCTGCTTGCAGACAAAGAAATCCTCCCCAAAATCCTCCCCTTCTCACGGCTGTTATCATTAATAAAGTTCAAAATTTTCTAAAACAAAGGTTCCAAATTGCAATGCTCTTTTTTCTCCTGAAGGTATATCTTTGCAGTCCACAATTCCTATCAGTTGTCTGACAAAGTATCCATTTTGTTTCAATCCACGTTAACAATCTTTACTAGCTTCTCTTTTCTTCTTTTTAACTTTGAAAATGCCAAATCAGTTTTATAGTCCAGTCCGAATTAAACAGCACTTTTCTTCTCTCTCTTTTTTCTTTTCTTTAGACAGCATTTCTGTTACAGGGTTTATTGTCCACTTTCTCTTTTGTTTTTCTTAAAATTCAAAAAAAGGATCTGTTTATTTTCTTTCCAATCCTTTAGCCAATTTTGGGGTTATTTCTTCTAGTTTTTAAAGTTTTCTAAATAATTTTATTCAAAAGTCAATTTTCTTTTCGGGTTTTTGTCCCTTTAAATTGCGCTTCAGACATCTCTTTTCTTCCCCCTATGCCCGTTAGCCGCTATTTTTACGCTGGGGTTTTTTCAGGTTTAAAAGGTTTTTTTATTGTTGCTTCGCCTATGGGTTGGCTGTCACTCACCCAGCTTCAAAACTCCGTTCCAGTCACCACTCCTGCTCAATACTTAGCCCGGTTGCCCCAGCTTCTTGACAGCCGCAATGGCTGCTGCCTCTGCTGCCGAATCGGAGAGAGTTTCCTCTGACCTTCGAGGAACTTGCCTGTTCCTCTTGGTCTTCCGAGGTGCCTCTCCTTCGTCCCTGTCCCTATAGGACGGTTCCGGTCCGAAGACCCCTCGGCAGTGGTTTGTCAGTCCGGGTTTTCACGGAGCTCATTGGAGCCTGCTAATTCCCTGACTGTCTCACCGCAACGCTTCCGGTCGAATCTAGAAAGTGGTAATCTTGAAGCTCTAAGTGCATTTTATGATTCTGATTATTTGGAATTATTCAGTCAGCCTTATAGCTAGAATAAGGTACTGTTTGGGTTATTTTGGTAGATGGACTATGTCAGAAATTGAATTATGGTGAGGAGAAAGAACATGACCATTCTGGTTCTGTTGGACCTCTTGGCATGTTTTGTATGTGTCCTTTTCTGTTCTCAGATTTTCATTAAGGTTTTGTGCAGTCATACTGACTTTGGCTTAACTCCAAGGGTTGTGTTTGACTATAACTTCAGCTATACATGATCTGGCTATATTCAGCTATACATTGTCTGGTGGGCTGAGTCGAGAGTGACTGGGCCAAAGTCACCTGCTGGCTTTCATGCCTTAAGATCAGACTAGAATTCACAATCTACTGGCTTCTACTCTGGTGCCTTAACCACTAAACAAAACTGGATCGCCTTCACTTTATTTTGGAAGATATAGTGCATGTCTTCTCTTTGGTTCAGCAGCAGTAGTAAATAACAACAATGATACTCTTTTCATTTATTTCTTTATTTTGTGCAGCATTGTTAAGTTAATTTGTTTGGATTTTTGAGCAAGAAAAGGTATTTTTAACATATAACGTAATCCCTCATTTTCTGTGTCTTCTGTTCTTTTTGCACAGTTAGTATATTTCATCTACTATAATCTACTATAATCCTGCTGTGGGATCACCTTTCCAGGTCTCTATTAGATCTATTTATAATATTTGCTTTCTGTCCTAAAAGCATAAGTTCATAACATTTACGTACATTCTGAATATGAATGTATAGACAATGAAGGCCATTAAATTATGAGCCAATATTCTAACTTTTTTTTTATTTCAGAGAGCCTATTTCAACAATATTTTCAGTTTCTACAACACATATGTTCTTGATTCATGATTCTCATTTTAGTGAAGGAAAATTCCAAAATGTCCTTTATAAAAGAGCCTTGATAGTACAGTGGTCTACGCACCCTGTTATTAACACAGCTGCCTGCAATTTACTGCTGGTTCGAATCTCTCCAAGGCTCAAGGTTGACTCAGCCTTCCATCCTTTCTAAGGTAGGTGAAATGAGGACCCAGTTTGTGGGGGCAATAAGCTGACTTTGTATAAATATATAAAAGTATGAAGGCTATTGCTTAACGCATTGTAAGCCGCCCTGAGTCTCCGGAGAAGGGCGGCATATAAATCAAATTTTAAAAAAAAACAAAAAACGATTGGTTATGCCCCTTGCAAGTCAAATACAGAAGAATCCTTAAGTTCTGGGTTATTATATAGGCTGTTTTATATAGTAGAAATATTATACCTCTTTTAGTGGACTCCTCAGGATGTAGAGATTATTTTTACGAATACATTACTATTGTTGGCTGATCAATATGACTGTACAGTGGTGCTGGTCTAAAAACCAAGAGACTGTGAGTTTTAGTTCCACCTTAGGCATGAAAGCTACTCTAGCTGGGTGACCTTGGGCCAGTCATTCTCTTTCAGCCCAACCTACCTTATAAGTATTATGTGTTTTTGTTGTGGAGAAAATTGAAGAAAAGTATATTATGTATGTTCACCAGCGAGCTTATTTCATGCAGTTAAGCTGCTATTGTAGCATCATGCCTTTAGAAATACTATTTGTAGTGTCATAACATATGAAGTTTCATAACAAAAAATATAAAAAATCTTGTGCGTTTTTGTTTATAAGATAAAAATTATATACTGAGCATTATATGCGAGTGCAACTATACTTTTGCTTTCTAACTTTCAAAACAGCTTTGCTGATGACATGGAGTTTAAACTGAAAAATCAGATGGAATACTTTTAACGTTTGAAAAATATTCATATAATATTGATCAATAATATCAATAATCAATATTGTCAAGACAAGAACAATGCATGGAAACTAAGCAAGGAGAGAATCAACCTAGAAATAAGGAGAAATTGCCTGACAGTGACAACAATTATTCAGTGGAAGCCTTCAAATGTTATGGGTGATCCATCACTGGAGGTTTTTAAGAAGAGACTGGACAGCCCTTTGTCTGAAATGCTATAGGATCTCCTGTTTGAATACGGGGCTGGACTAGAAGATCTTTAAGGTCCCTTCCAACTCAGTTATTCTATGTTTTATGATATATCCTAAACATTTAAAATGTATTTTTCAGAAATAGAAATTACTATTGTACATCTACAATATACCATACTTTTCAGCAAAATAAATTACAATAATTTATCAATGTAACATTTCCCATTTCTTATAGGTGGCCAAGAAATTGGGCCTAAAGCTAAATGAGGTGGATTTTTATGAACCATTTATGGATGATCCCATCCGTGTTCCTGACAAGCCATATACTGAAGAAGAATTGGTTGTGTTTGTGAATGAGCACAAAAGGTACAGAGAATGGCATAAGGATCATTTCACCTACATTTCCACCAATTATCTATCTATCTATCTATCTATCTATCTATCTATCTATCTATCTATCATCTATCTATCTATCTATCTATCTATTATCTATCTATCTATCTATCTATCTATCTATCTATCTAATTTATATACAGTAGCTGCCTACTCACTCACAGCGACTCTAGGTGGCTTACAAGCAATAAAACACAAAATAGAAAAAAAACAAAAAACAATAACCCCCTGCCTGATGACAACACAGTCAAAAAAGTCATTTGGTGGACTCCATCCCACTCTAGGTTCCCCAGGCCTGCTGGCAAAATCTTCAGGGCCTTACGAAAGAGTGTCAAAGTGGAGGCCAGTCTAATTTCTGAATGGACAATATTCCAAAGGGTGGGAGCCACCTTTATGAAGGTACTTTTTCTGGATCTCACCAGATGTACCTCCTTAGAGGATGGGACCCGCAACAGTCCTTGGCTGCCTACTCTAGTGGGTTGGGTAGATGTAACTGGCAAGACATGGTCCCTCAGATAACCTGGCCTCAAGCTGGTTGGGCTTTAACCAGCACCTTGAATTGCACCCGGAAGCAAATCGGCAACCAATGCAGCTCCTGCAGGAGACGCGGCACATGTGCACATCAAAGTCTGCACAAAACCATGCATGTTGAATTCAAGTATCAATCATTGAAAAATAGTGAATTTATATTTCTTCCCTCCTGAGCTTGGTAGAGTTATTATATCTAGAGTTGATTAATGGCTAGTGTTTTGAAAACTTCATTTTTGTCATGTACTTCCTAAAACCTGGAGAAAGTTAGCATATATTTGGTAACTGAAAAGGAGGATCTAATGGCTGGATGCTTTCAAGATTTCTATTGTGAAAAGTACTCTATCTGTATTCTATCTGTGAAAAGTACAAAACAGTGGAGATCTATTAAGCCTTCCCCTCACAACACTGTAATCCACAGTGTTTTGTCTACATTCGCTACCCTATTCATTTCAATGTTCATTTGAATATCCAGTTCACATAAAGATTTTGCTATTCAACTTTCCTCTCAGGAAAAGAATCCGTTCTACCTACCTAGGTAGTAGAGGAAACAAGGATGGAAAAGGGTATATAATACCTTGAGCCTGATAGAATCAGCCCTACACACTGCTCTTGTTCACGTTAATACCATCTGCTGATGCTTTTCTCTGAATGTCCTCCAGTCCACAGGTGAAATTCAGCCGGTTCTCACCGGTTCGCCCAAACTGTTAGTAAATTGCTTATGCAGTTCAGAGAATCGGTTAAAAATAAAGTGTAAGAGAGGTTTTTTTCTCTCTCTCTCCCTTCAGTTAATAGCTCCACTTAACAGTTGCAGCTGGAATGCAGCCAATACATGCTGAATCAAGACAATAAACAACAGAAACTGACAGGATTAGGGCAGGGAAACCCATCAATCACCCATCTAGGGATGGGATTAACCTCTTCCCTTCAGGACGAAGGACAAGATTACAAACATTTTCATTATAAAGAGTATTAAGTAACACTTCTGTGATCAGCTGATACTCCCTGAAGTTTCCCAAGACCTTTTATAGCTGCTGCAGTGTTGGCTACTTCTTGTTTCTTCCTGGGGGAAAAAATACAGGAGAGGACAATGATGCAGCTTGATCATACAGGCCGTGAATTTAATGCATGTGTGGTCCAGCCAGCTGTATTGCTTCTGCTGTGAAGCACCCAATTTAGAACATAGAGAACATAGAATAATAGATTTGGAAGGGTTAATGGCTTTTGGCAGCACGCCCAGGCTTCCAATTGGCCTGAGCAACTGCTCTTAGTTTCCCTCTCAAATGCTGCATTTGCTTTGGTGTTGACTTTTTTAAAAAAGGGGAATGGCTGTTTTACGTTTTCTGCATTGTTTTAGTGGTTCCTGGCACTGTCCTTTTGGGGTGTACTCAGTGGTGGGTTTCAGCCAGTTTGCACCACTTCGGGAGAACCAGTTGTTAACTTTCTGAACAGTTTGGCAAACTGGTTATTGGAAGATATCATTAGGGCAGAAAAATTGTTGTTAAATTACTTGAATCCCATCACTGGGTGTACTTCCCTTACCCTTTCTAAAAGCCTCTAGTGATGGAGCACCCACAACTTCTGAAGGCAAGCTATTCCATTGGTTGATTGGTCTCACCCTTATGAAATTTCTCCTTCGTCCTAGGTTGCTTCTCTCTTTGGTTAGTTTCCATCCATTGTTTCTTATTGTACCTTTTGGTGCTTTGGAAAATAGCACTTTGGATCTACCTCATTTTTGCAGGAGCCCCTCAAATTTCCTGACAGAACAATTAATCAGTGGAACAATGTGCCTCCAGAAGTTGTGAATGCTCCAACACTGGAAGTTTTTAAGAAGAGATGGGATAATCATTTGTCTGAAGTGGTGTAGGGTTTCCTGCCTAAGCAGGGGGTTGGACTAGAAGACCTCCAAGGTCCTTTCCAACTCTGTTATTCTATTCTATTTTAAATATTGGAACAGTGCTATTTTATTGTGAGTTGGACTAAGGAGAAATTTCCTAAGGGTGAGATCAATCGAGTTGGCCATGCCCACCCAGTCACATGACCCATTTCCCACAGAAATCACTGGGAGCCATACAAACTGGGCAGATGTGGCTGGGGAGAGGTCATGTGACTGGGAGTGACATTGAATTGGCCACCCCTACCAACCCAGTCACATGCCCACTAAGCCATGCTCACCAAGCCACGCCCACAGAACTGGTAGGGAAAAATTTTGAATTTCATCTCTGCTCCAGTCCTTCTGGAGTGGAGTTTGTGGAAGAGTGACTGTAATGTTTTATGGAACTGGTTTCTGACCTGCCAGTCATGCTTTCTGAATCTACCTCCCCTACACATATTCTTATGAATCAAGATAGATTTGAATGGAACTGAAAAACATTTGTTTCCCTTTCAGAAGCACACTGCGCAAGTTGCAGCCTGAAGACATGTTTGAGATCTGGGTAAGAGATGGAAGTTGTAAACCTTATGGAATATTCATATGAAAAAGGCCCTGGATTGGATAGAAAAGCTAAAATAGGGTCATGCAGGCCTTTGTAGGTTGGATGTGTGATTATTCATGCAATAGCCATTCATGCTTATCCAAACTGATGTTTCAACTGTTACAATGTCTTTATAGCTAAGTAGTTTCAAAAATGATTGAGAAATTTCATTTGGCTCAAATAATGCAAGCAAATAGTTAATGATATCATATTATGTTAGTGCTTTGCCATTTCAAGGCAAAATTCAAAGCAATAGTCCAAGTCTATGAAGCCATAGGGAACCTGATGCAGGATATCAAAAAGGGTATCTGTTCCTGCCTATCTTATCCTTGGATTGCTGAAATGGGGCATAAGAATAACCTTGAGGAATGGGAATAAAGAGCTATAGCTAAAACAAGGGTCAAATAGAAAAATCTAAGTCCAAAGGAGGAATGGAATTTGAGAAATTGTCTCAGACTTGACCGTTCCTAATTCTTTTCAGGATAAAGGCAGAAATGGGATTGCAAGATTCTGTTATTGTAGCAGTAGCAGAATAGTATTCATAACTTAGGTGTTCAGGTTTGTCTACCCTGAAGGGCTGACAGTTGCCTTCTGAAGTCTTTCTCTGGCCAAAGGAGTTAAGAAGGATGGTCAGAAGAAAACGGGTCTTTTCAGTTGGGTCACCTTGCTTCACCTGATATTTTATATTTTTTATATTTATATTTAAAATATTATTTCACTATTTTTCCTAGTATAATATTGCTAGTTTTATTATTGAAATTTTAATCCCATAGCAATTGCTGTCTTACTGCTGCTTAATATTTTATTTTATTGTGCTGTTTTCCATAGTAGTTTTAATTTTTAAATCTTTTCCTGTATTTTTATCCTGCTCAAAAGTTAAATAAACAAATAAATATGCATTCAGGCTAGGATTCCTCCTCTTTTAATCCACAAAACTCAATTCAAGGCACTTTGTAAATGTCTGAGCTAATTTCTGGCAGCAACAGGAATTGTGTACAAATGAAAAGAATGATTAGAATGAGCCATCACTGCTAAGAAACCTCCTTCTAAGAGAAGCAATATCTAGTTTATTCATACAAAGATAGACTTGTATGTACTATGTTACGTTTAAATAATTTTAGAGAATACCTATTCTATTGTTTTACTATAGTAAAATTATGGCACATCCATGAATAGCTCAAGATTTCATAGTATTTTAAATAAAAAGAATGATCAAGTCAAAGTGACCTTGTTTTGTCATCAAGCAATTAAGGATAACAACTTCTTCTAGGCTGCACACATACAGTACTGTGTACCTCTATAGAGGTACACTCTTTTTCTTATAGCAGAAGTGAATTTTGGGACATGGAGAGAAAAAGGCCTAAAAGTACTGAATGTTTTATCATTAAACATTTGCTATTTTCTGCCTCTCCCACAGAAGGAAACACCAACAGCTTGACTCAGTGCAATATTTGGAAGGGTTTTAAATCTAAAAACAACTAAACATGGTAGTTTTAAATTTTATTTATTTTGATGTTGGCTATAATGCAATTAAAAGAGAACATAGAAAGCTGTTCTGTACCCATATTCTTCCTGCCCTTCACTTCTCATCCCATTCAGGTGTTAGCAGTAAATATTAGTAGATCTGTTAGCCTTGTGTGGTCTCGCCCAAACAGAACCCGAGTCAGAAAGATAGATTAAAATCTCTTTATTTATGTACACAAGTAAGGAGAGGCACCTTACCCAAGAGAGGAGAGGAGCAGATTGGAAAGGTAGAAGATCATCTTATATGCATATTAGTTTTGGAATGGTTCTTTCATTTGTTAACATTATTTGACACATTCTGATGGAGCATGCATGCTCAGTAAGTCTAGTATGTAATATGTAGCATTCTATAGCATCCCATTATATTCTCAGTATGATCTTGTTAATCATAATCTCATATTCATATTCAGGAACATAATGTTCAAGCCAGGTGTGTCCTTGACAGGTTTAAACCAGTTTTCATATCAGGCAGAACATAACTTTCTTTTCTTCTTCAAGAAGTAGAAAGAAGTTTTTAATCAAAAAACATAAATTAATCAAATGTTTAGTTAATAATCTAGTTACTAAAAACAATCAAAGAGGTTTCCCTCTGTCATCACAGGTACAACTCCTAGCAGTGGGATCTTAAGGAAGTAGGAAAGTTCAGCAGCAGTAAACCTCTAAGCACAACACTTCAGACCTGAGATAGAATAGAACAGAGCTGGAAAGATTCCTCCTTTTCTAAACCCAGCATCTTTGGTCTCATAAAATACATGCTTTGCCTATAGAAATCCCCAGCTCAACCCTTTGTATCTCTAATTAAAACTCTGAGACTTAAACCATTTTAACAGGCAGCTCTGAATCCAGTCCCTGATCTTCTGTGTCTCTTAGCTCCTAAAAGCTGAGGGAAAAAAGCTGTTTCAAGCCCAAATAGGGTATTAGCCTATTCTGTGTGAGTCAGTTAGTTGCAGAGAGAGTCAGTCTGAGGCTCCAGCCACACGTCTGATTTGTGCTGTTTAGGAACTGATTCTGTGTTCTTGTGTTGTTCCCAGAATGCCACGATCATCATCATTTTGCATTTCTTCCCAAGCTCACATCTACTTGCTCTTTAACTGTCTCCTAGGAAGATGTGACTAGACTAGTGCCAGGCTTTGCCTATTCCTATTGTATTGTAATTTCTATATAAGAGATAAATGTCTATGAAGATTCTGTTGTCTAGGTCATGGTTGTCCCAAAGGTGCTTTTTCAAAAGGCAATTTGACTTTGTTTTTCTTTGTAGATGTTTTGCTTCTCATCCAAGAAGCTTCTTCAGTTTTTGAATCAGAACTGAAGAAACTTCTTGGATGAGAAGAGAAACTTCTTTAAGGAAAAACAAAGTCCAGTTGCCTCTTGAAAAAGCACCTTTGGGACAAGAGATAGATATAACTTTCATCTCTGCTTTATTATAGCTACAAAACTGCTTCCCCTCCCTCCAGAATGCTCCCCCTCACACACAGAATATTTCCACTTCCCACAATAAATTGCACGTCTCTGGCTCCTTAGTTTTCTTCTCTTCTTGCTGAAGTTAAGGCTCAGGGGCTCCTGTCTTCATTGCATCAGATTTCTTAGAATTTATTTTATGATGCTTCATTTTCCCTCCCTCATTGTCCTTCCTGTGGCTATTGCAAGCATTCACCTGAGCTGGTCAGTGAGGGAATATCCTCAAAGACCTGTCCCTGAGCTTTTGCTCTGCTGTGCTTGCATTGGGGTGAGGCAAAATAAAAAAAATTAAAACATTGCTGGCTACCACCCAGAAATCTAGTGTAAAGGCACCTGGGGCCCTGAGATAGCTTGTTAATGGTGAGGAAGGGCAGGAGAAGTAGTACTTCCCAGCAATAGGATAGTGTCTTGTCTACAAGCTCCAAGTTGCTCTGGCATCTTAGATCAAAAATTGAGAATTGGGGCAATTGATCCAGAAGAGAATCAGCTTGGGAACTCCAGCTGATTCTCTTCTGGATCAATGGAAGGACTGCATGAAAGTGCCTTTGAACTATGATGCCTTGATACCATTTTGCCAGGCTTCTTAAACTAGACAAGGACTTGCTTTTTCTCCCACCACCAGACTTCTTCAAAAATGGAGAGAAGGAAAGACATGGACTGAGCACTGATTTCTTGCCAGCTTTTATTCTTCCTCTGTTGGTTACATCACTGGTTAGTTTATGGGTAATACTCTGCATTGCTTCTGCAATGGGGAGGATGTTACCAGGGGCTGTCTGGAGGGGTCTGGTACCTTCTGTTAATTGCATTGATGGAAGGTAGAAAATCCATACACAGAAAGGGAAAAACTTCCAATGGGAAAGAATAGCAGCACATTTTTTCTTAACACAAATAGCAGCTAGAAGTTTTATTCAAAACCATAGATAGAGATGGCTTAATTTACCTCCTCACTTGTATCTAGAAGAAAATGGAAAGGAGGAGATGGACCCTAGAATGTGAACATTTCTGTTATACCATTCACATAAAGTGTAATTTGAGCTCACTGGCAAAGTATTTCTGTTTTGCATATTGAAGATCTGAGGTGCAAACTTTACCATTTCCAGTTAAGTGATTTTGGCTTGGTAGGACTTTTACCTCAAAATATCTGGAATGGTTGTCAATCAGCATAAATCACATAGGGATTGGAATGGATAGATTGGCTCACTAAAACATCATTTTAACTGCAAGTGTGCAGGTCAGTGTGGTAGATAGAACTTTGCTTTGTTGTCACTGAACTGAACAGCAGTTTATAGTCTCTGGTAGATAATTATATACACTCTACAAGAACCTGGAGAAAAACTTCTTCCACTGCACTGGAGAGAAGAGCTGGGTCTTTTGTTTAATGAGTTATCGACTCTGGCATTGTGCTTGTGTTAAGACAGCTGGAGATTGAGTGGGAGAGTATGGGGAAAACAAAAAAGAAGCACAGAAGGCTACACTATCTTGGACTACTTTTGCTCCAATTTTAGTCATAAATCTACTCTAAACATCCCTCTCAGATTCTGATTCCCCTGCTGAAGTCTTGATCTTACATTCTCTCTCTCCCACCCCTCCACCAATGTTTTCCACTTATTCTTTTAATTCTTCATTTTATGGGGTTCTGTCACTTTTGGACTCAGAGGGGAAAGACATTAGCATTTAGATGGATTTTTTTCCTCTTGCATTAATACCAATTGAAATTGAAAGCTGGGATTGGCGGGACACAAGGAACATGAGGGTTTTCCATGGTATAATTCCAAGATGACGTTTGTAGCAGGTGCACAATAAACATCCTCCCTGCCAACTCCGGGGGCTTTTGCCAATATAATTTTCACTGAATCCAGCTGCCCAAGGTTTGGATGCTACTTTTGTGGAAGAAAATCTGTCCCAGACTTGATTTTTAATATCAATTTTTCACAAGTAGCCTTTACAGAATATAGAAAAGAGAATAACAGAATTGGAAGGGGCTTTGGAGGTTTTCTAGTCCAACTCCCTGCTGGAGCAGGAGACCCTGTACCATTCTAGACAAATAGCTGACTAGACACTTGTTAAAAACCTCCAGGAATGGAGCATCCACAGTCAAGGGAGGTAAGCCGTTCCATTGATTAATTCTTCTGACTGTCAGAAAACTTCTTTTTTCTCCTTTTATTGTTATTATTTAACTCCAAATCTCTTATGTGACAAAATTATGTTTAATACAAAATAACAACATTAATCCAGAAGGTGAAAACTTCATTTGATTTCTGTAATCACCAGGTTGCAATGATTTAAATAATCATAGAATATCTAGGTTCAAAAGAACCTCCAGCTCAGTGCACCACTTATATTCCCAAAAAATGGCCATTTAGCCTCTGTGGAGCCTCTGAGCCGTGATGGCACAATGGTTAGAATGCAGTATTGCAGGCTAGTTCTGCCAACTGCCAGCACTTCAATTCTCATTGGCTCAACTCATCCTTCCATCCTTCCAAGGTCAGTAAAATGAGGACCCAGATTGTTGGGGGCAATATGCTGAATCTGTAAACAACTTAGAGAGGGCTATGAAGCACTGTGAAGTGGTATATAAGTCTAAGTGCTATTGCTAAATGCTATTGCTATTGTTTAAAAACTTCCAGTAAAGAGAATTCACTCAAGAAAATATTCCATTATTAAACAGCTCTCATTGCTGGGAATAATTTTTTAATGTCCAATTGAAATTGACTTCTGTGTAATTTAAATTAAATATCCATGGTTTCTTTTCCCATCATCTGGGCAATTGCTTAATGTTGTACAAGACAGCTCTTCTGATATTCAAAGACTTCAATAAGGCATTTGACGAAGTAGACCACAGCCTAAATCTTGGTAAGATAGAAAAATGTGGGAAAGACAGCATCATCACCACATGGATTCACAACTGGCAGACCAACTGCACTCAACATGTAGTCCTCTAAATCAGGGGTGAAATCCAACAGGTTCTGATAGGTTCTGGAGATCCAGTAGCGGAAATTATGAGCAGTTCAGAGAACCGGTAGCAGAAATTTTGAGTAGTTTGGAGAACCGGCAAATATCACCTCTGGCTGGCCCCAGAGTGGGGTGGGAATGGAGATTTTGCAATATCCTTCTCCCTGGAGTGGGGAGGGAATGGAGATTTTGCAGTATCCTTCCCCTGCCACGCCCACCAAGCCACACCATGCCCACCAAGCCACACCAACAGAACCGGTAGTAAAAAAATTTGGATTTCACCACTGGTCTAAATGCAGGGAAAGCATACAGTGGCGTATCTCAAGGTTCTGTCTTAGGCCCAGTATTCTTCAACATTTTTATAAATAATTTAAATGAGGGGATAGAAGTGGAACTCATCAAATTTGTAGATGACACCAAGCTGGGGGGAATAGCCAATATTTTAGAAGATAGACTCCAGATCCAGATGGACCTTGATCAACACTGGGCCCTATCCAGCAAAATGCAATTCAGAGGAAAGAAAAGTAAGGTCTTCCGCAAGAAAAATAAAATGCACATGGAATATGTGGTACCTGGCTCAACAGCAGTGAGACATATCTAAGAGTCCTAGTGGCAACCACTTAAGAATAAGTGTGCTGCAGCTGCCAAAAAAGCCAATGCACTCCTAGGCTGCATCAACCGAGAGATAGTATCAAGATCATAGGAAATGCTATTACTGCTTTTTATTGCACTGGTAAGATCACACTTGGGATACTGTATCCAGTTTTGATTACCATGATACAAAAAAAGTACAAAAAGTACAGAGAAAAGCAACAAAGATAAGGGGTCTGAAGATTAAAGTGTACGATGAACAGTTGCCGGAACTTGGTATATCAAGTTTAGCAAAGAGAAGGACTAGGAGTGACATGAAAGCAGTCTTCCAATACTTAAGAATCGGGGGGATTGGACAAACATTTATCTAGAATGGTATAGGGTCCCCTGCTTGAACAGGGAGCTGGGCTAGAAGACCTCAAAGATTCCTTCCAACTCTTCCTATTCTCATTTTCAGGATAAACATAACCAATACTTCTATCTTTTCTTCCTAAATTTATCTGTCTCTCTATCTTGTAAAGCCAATTTGGAACCATGGAATAGCAGTGTGTGATGTATGTATGTTTTGGTGGTATTGTATACTTCACAATTAATGATGCACTCATCAGAACATGTTTCTTACATATAGGAGGATGATCTAGATGGAATTCACATTGTGGCGTTTGCTGAAGAAGACGATCCAGGTATAAAACACATAGGCTTGTTGTAGGTCTTGATGTAAAGAACATAAAACATGGCTGTCAGGGGATGACTTTCTGTCCGTCACCTGTCTATTACAAGAAAGTGTCCTATGGCATCAAAATGTATGCTAATTATAGGTATTCACCACCATGAACTATGTTCCATTCTTCAGATGTAGGAGAAGTTAGCTTGAAAGAGAGGCATTTATAATATACTCCCATTCTTTTAGAGGAGGGAAAGTGGCTCTATGGATTTTTGCATTTTTCCTTTTTGCAAATAAAAGCTAAAAGCAATTTAATTAGAGAATCAGCTTTGAAATAAAAAGCATTTTCATCTTAATCTTTGAAATGTTTCATTTGCAATAATATTTTAATCGCTGATTCATTGCCAACTGTTCTCCTCCTACTCTGTGTTTCATATGTAACTGGAACCATCTTCACTCTCATTCTGGGGACATTTACTCCCCTGTGATACAATATGTGTAACATTAGAAATAGGGAAAAAATGTTCTCCACAAGAAAGTCTTCCATTCCAGTTCTGAGTGGGCTGACCTCAGAGTTTAGTGTCTACAAAAAGGACTTGGTAGGTACCACCCAAATTTGAAAGCAGACAGTGAACCACTAGTGAAATGGTGGGACTGAGAAATAGTGCACTGAAATAATCTTCTCTCACATGATTGTAGTTGCTTGAAATATGCTATTCTTGTCTGATTACTATAAACACCCAAGTATTCTTCTGCAGAGCAATCCACAAGGTAATCGCTTAACTGTTATTATATTTTCAGATGGCTTCGAATTCCTGGAAATTGTCAAGCAGGTTGCCAAAGACAACACTGATAATCCTGATCTAAGCATTGTCTGGATTGATCCTGATGATTTTCCTCTGGTAAGTAGCCCTATCTCCCAGCTGGTCCCTTCTCATTTTTTACACACTTACATTCATGTACATGTAGAAGTACATAGACATTCCATATATAATAGAGAGCAAAGAATTGCAATCAATTGAATCTATTGTGTACTGCCATCAAGAAAAAAAAATCCAAAATAAATTTAATGTATGACTTTCAGATTTGTAAGTATTAATATGAATGCCTATATTTTAGCATTCCTTTTTATATATAATTAGTATTAAAGAATTTTACATATGTAAAAGGTAAACAAGAAATTATATAATGTAAGATTAAGAAAAGAAAAAATATAAGAAACAATGCAGATAGAAAAAAGGAAAATATATAAAGAAATGACTTCTGATCTTCCTTACAGCAGTTACAAACTTATTATTTCTCCTCCCTCTTTAAAATTACATGATTCCCTTCTACCCATATTCATCCTTTTCTAATCAACTAATCCATAAATGACCAATTCATTTGACAGCCTTTCATAAAAGTACTTATTGTCTTACTCCTGATCAAACAGATCATTTTTGCCATTTCCACAAGTTCCATCATTTTCTCCATTGTGGATATTGCAGTATTTTTCCAACTTTGTGCATAATAGCCTTGTTACAGTTACCATATATAAAATCAATCTTCCATAGGTCTTTTCTAAGTTGTTACCCATAAATCCCAATTTAAAAAATTCTGGTTGCATCTGAATATTGGTTTTTAAAATTGTTAGTATCATCATATGTATTTGTATCCAATTGTTTTTGTTTTTTGCAAGTTCACCATAGCACTAGCAATAACACTTAGACTTATGTACCGCTTTGCAGCCCTCTCTAAGCAGTTTACAGAGTCAGCATATTGCCCCCAACAATCTTGCTCCTCATTTTACTAACCTTGAAAGCATGGAAGGTTGAGTCAACCTTGAGCCAGTAAGGATTGAACTCCTGGCAGTGAGCTGAATTAGCCTGCAATACTGCATTCTAAGCACTGCGCCACCACTGCTCTTCAGTTTACCCATGCATGGTAAACTGTCCCATGTTTTTCTCTCCCATTGGCCCATGTGATATATAGCACATTGCATTGGTCTACGTTATAACCCAAATTTCTAACCCATTTTATCACGCACTTATTGCTTTTAACTATCACATTAAATTCAAACAACCCGTATTCCCATGAAGGGATGCATTATTTATTAAATTAATCCAAAAGTACTTTAGAATAAACAATATTAATTTCAGTTCTTCTGTTGTGGATTTAATAAGACAAACACAACTTTTGGGTTAATCAGAGACAGATTTTATATATATATTGCGCAATAGGTTCAAGGCTCTGTACATGAAGCGTTGAACAAAGACAGGAATTAGGTACAATGGTTTTATACCCTTCTAGACAAAGGATTCTTTGAAGTCAGCCGTTCATATGGTCCTATACATTTATCAATTTTAATTGACATTACAGAGTTTATTTGCAAAACAGTCATAATTCTTTTTGTAGATTACTGAAGCATATCTTTTATCTTTTGACGATGGACAACTTTTAACTCATGTGGATCCCCTTGACCTAACCAACCTTTAAGCTGTATGGTATTAGAATGTTCCTTTCTTCTGACAACTTAGAGGCCTCCTAGAGGAACCAAAAGGATTTTGGCTGAGTTTGTACTTTTTCCAACCGGATGCATTGCTTTTTAGAATAGAGTGAATAGAAAGTTATCCAGTGGTCATCCATCAGAGCCCGCTTCATTACATTACTTCCCTTAATCTGTTTTAAACTTTCTTGGTTCAAGTTCTTGGTAAGCTTTTTTGCTTTTAATTGTTTTAAAATCTTTATAGTTATTTCTTTACTTTCTACATTAAGCCAGGTCAAAAGATACTCACCATGTTTAATTGCTCTGCTGCTTGAAGTGTCTGTAGCTCATATCTTTGCAAGTTTTAAAATGTAATTCAAACATGCATTAGAAAGTATAGCTTTGGATAAGTTCCTGAAAAGCAGGCCCTGCATGAGGCTATGCACTTGATGTTTTTCCCCCTGTGGCTCCTGGCACAAGTCATCAACAGGAGCCCTCTCAATCCTGTAGGTTTCCTCACAGGGAGTTGCCCTCTGAAGCACAAGCTGGCAATCTCTTGGCTTCTCCTCGTCCAAGAAGCTCTGCTCACTAAGGTTTGCCTGGTCACCAGGCTCCACTACTTTGCTATTCGGTGTGTGTTAGTCCTCCATTTTCTCCATCCAGAAGTTCCCAATTTAAGAACTTAAGTTCTTAAGTTAAGAAACTTAAGTTGTTTCTTACAACTTAAGAAACATATATAAAACATTTTTCTCCTAATGTTTTTCAATACCAGAAAGTTTCTGAATTTCACAAAAGGAATACAAGAGTCAGTTCTATATAATTCTACTTTATAATGTAGAAATCTGTGATTTTCAAAACTTTTGATAACTGTTCTGTGCGTGAGGAAAGGAAGCCCCACTTCTTTTTCTTTTTTTCTGCAATAGATAATTTTTTTAAAATTTTTTTTATTTAATTTGTTAAATTTATTTGCCATCTATTTCACTGTGGGGTTAGTCTAGGCAGCTTTTATAAGGCTATTTATATTTATAAGGCAGCCCAACTCAAACAGTGTGATTGTAGGCTGCTTCTGTTTCTTCATTTAAAGCAAACTGCTGCAAATATTGAATAAGATTGCCATTGCTTTAGCAATGTTTTAAAAATTAAGGGCAGTTTTACTGTATATATTCACAACCAGTTTTCTGAGTCATATATTAAAATTCAAATAGGATTAGACTTTAAATCATTTATGCAATAGCTTTCTTTTTTTGGTCAACACATCTTCCTATTTGGAAATATTCAAATAACTCAATCTAGAAACATTTTCTCATGTGTCCCACATGAGAGCACATAACTTTTTAAAATTCCATTTGAATTTTTCTCAATATATCTTGAAATTTAATGAAATAGAAAGGAAGATAAACATATGATTAAAATACATACATTAAATTTTTGATATATAACACAATTTATTAGAGTTGTTATATAAATATTTAATATTTAAATGCTATTCAATATTTAAAGCATAAGAATCCATTGCAAAATGGTTGCATCCAGAAGGTGTTTTTTAACCAATCTTAAACTGCCATGAACATCTTAAAAGTTCATTGCCAATATATCCTGAGTGTGCTTTTAGTATGAGATTGCATAAAATGTTAAGTCCAATTTTGTTTTTATCCAAAGAGTGTTGAACAAGCTATAGTACTGCTAAATTACAATTACTGGCATACAAAGGTTCAGCATTTATGTGTGTACTGGACCATAATCTTGCACAGCATAAACTACAGCATAAACTCCGGGTCCCGTCAGCTAAACAATGTCAGCTGGCGGGCCTGTGGGGGAGGGCCTTCTCTGTGGCTGCCCTGGCTCTCTGGAACCAATTACCTCCTGAGGTCTGGACTGCCCCCACCCTATTGGCCTTCCGCAAAGCGGTGAAGACCTGGCTCTTCCGGCAGGCCTGGGACCGTTGATCTCGTTATAATGATCTTGCGAGACCCGGCCACGAATTGGAGTGCATGTGTTTTAATGTTTTTAAAGTTTTTAATGTTTTTCTTTTTAACATTTTTTATGGGATCGTTCGCATTGTTTTATTCTTTGTTGTAAGCCGCCCAGAGTCCCTTGGGAGTTGGGCGGCATAGAAATGCGACAAAATAAATAATAATAATAATAATACAGCTCTCGGCCAGTCCACCCAACTGCACTGGAAACAAGCCAACACCAGAATGGAATAAAGCAGTTGCAATCCTTTAATTAGGTTCAGCACAGCAAACACAGGCAGGAGAAAGGCACAAGCCGGAAACAAGGTTTAAAGTTAGCGCTATACGCAATCGCAGTGTAGCGCCTTTTATATACACAGCAATAAATCAAGTGGCAATTAAACAGTTAACATCACCCCTCCTTCCCCTAGCTGGCCTGAAGGAGGAGCACAATAAATCAATTAACAATCAAACAGTCAACATCATCCCTCCTTCCTCAAGCTGGCCTGTAGGAGGAGCGCGCCTCTGTTACAGCACAAGGCAGCGTCATCTGCAAACACCATGCCCCCCCCATCTCCGATGAAAGAGTTTGCTTCGTTTTGTGTGCGGGTGGTAAAGACTTCTCAAACAGCTGATGACACGCCCCCGGAGAGTCCAACAGCTTGCCCCCTCCTCGTCGTCCTCCCTAGTGATGGCGAGACCCAACCGAGGCTCGACAGGCGGCTCCTCTCTACCAGGAGTCCACCTGCAGGAAATAAAATAAAGATGTTAGCATAGCAACCGTTCTACCCACTGGGACCTGGTTTATTTGGATATTTACGATGATACCGACGGAGCAACCGGTCGGCATGAACGTCTGGAGCTGCTACCCAAGATGCTTGTGCTAGTGGATAACCCTTCCACCGTACTAAGTACTGTAACCTGCCTCTACGTAGACGTGAATCCAATACTTTATCTATCTCATATTGATCTGAATGACTCGGTCCCGGGGAAACAGGCTGATGTGTGGGCCTTTCCTCTTTGACAGGTTTAAGGAGGCTGCTATGAAAAACAGGATGTATTTTTCCTAACAGTGAAGGTAGCTTAAGCATGACAGTGACAGGGTTGATCACACGTATTATAGGAAAAGGACCTATGTATTTGGGACCTAGTTTCCTACTAGGTAATCGTAATTTCAAGTATTTTGTCGATAGATACACGTGATCCCCTACAGAAAACGGTTTTGGGTCGGCTCTTTTTTTATCAACATAAAGTTTGTATTCATTTGCTGCTTTTTGAAGCGCCGTTTTTACCGCTGGCCACGTTTGTCGGATCTTGTCGGCCCAACCGGAATGTGTAGATACCCCTGTAGCTGGAGGTTCTACCTCAGGTATCGCAGGGAATTCTCTTCCATAGACGATTTGGAAAGGAGAAAATCCCGTGCTACGGTGGCTGATATTGTTGTACGCGACTTCAGCGAACGGGAGTAAGGCAAACCAATCAGTTT